CAAGATCATGCTCTTGCTTTCTCTCTTTGTATTATTGTAATGCTTAAGTTTTGCTTTCATTAATATCTTGTTCATGCCTTTCATTTCCTTTCCTTTACTTAGTTAACTTTTATCTTATTTATGTTCTTTTTTTATTTATTTATTTTTCTTTCTTTCATTATGTTTAGTTAAGTTTATTATGTCAATGTGAAAAAGTTATACTAATAGTGTAAGAATAAGTATAGTGTAAACTTAACATGGACTTTAATGTTTGAAACTAACATGTTTTATATTTATTATCTTGTTCACTCTTTAATACTTTACTTGTTAAATGACTAATTTAGATTTATGTAGTATAACAATTGGTACAACAAATGCTTGACACTTTCATAGCTCATACTGTATGGTAGAAGAGTTAGTGACAAGGGACCATCCTAGTTGATGAGGATTTGGGTGTAGCCAAATTACCTTGGGCGAGTCAAAATTAGAGGAGTTTTGTAACTTTGGTGATGGACAGATCATGGTGATGGAAACAAAGTTGATTGTTGTACGATGGACAAGTAAGCAACATTTAAATTTTATGCTTGTAGTTTTTGCATACAGAATGCTTAAAGAATTAGATTTTTGTAATGAGAGCTTATGTGGTTTTTCAAAGTGATTTTATGTTAATGTTTTTTTTTGAAGAGGGATGGATATATTGGATGCTTGTGATCAGTGTCTAAAATTCATGAAAACATGCTTATGAGTATGATATGTTTAGCATTTTTAGAAAACTAACAAGCCAAAACAAAATTGTGTCATAACTTGGCTTTGAAACAAGTTGATAAAAATTTGGTGGAATAAAATATTGTTGAATGTGGGCAAAACTAGAGGTATTATAGGGAGAAACATGGATTGTGACAAGTTATAGATGTGGTGCAAGGGTACTCCAAGTTTTTCCTATGAGGGCATCAGGTACTTTTAGTAAGGGTGGTTTGTAGCAATGTCAAATGTGCATGTGTTGCACACTTCGACAGGCTGTCTAAAACAGTGTTTTGGGTGCTAGCAGTTATGCCAATAGTGGAAAAAATTAGCAGCGCATATTTGTGCAACTGTAGGTTTGTTAGGGAAAATCAGCAACATAAATTGTTTGATGAACATGTGCTAGATGCTGGAATATCCAGTACAGGTAGGAAAATTTGTTAAGAGGTAGGCTAATGAAAATAAGGGTGGTTGTGGGCATTGACAACATAGATCTTGGCAACTTGCACGTAGATGAGAATTCATCAATGCGTAATAGCTTGTGTAAGTCATGGGTTTGACTTGGCACAATATGAAACTTGGATGAAGAACAAACTAAGGCATGCAAGAGACACGGTAGCATCATAGACAACAAAGATGGGTAATTACGCAAGTGGTTTTAGGTAGTTACGCCATGATTGTTAGTGAGGGAAGTTATCCACGAATATGAGGATATCCTGGAAAATATGGGGGCATGGCTAGAAATGATCTCAACCCACTAAAATTATTGGGGAAAACTACCCAGTACTTATTAGATAATGGGGCCACCATGTTAATGGGTGAAGATGGTTGAGATAGTGTCCCACTACTTCCTTAAATGTAGGAATGGAAGTTGTGCTTTATAAATGCTTGTCTATAAATAGTTGTTGCAATTCTTGGTTGTGGAGGATGTAAGCTTGGTGCATCATGAATTTTTTGTGCATAACACGTATACATATTTGTGTATAATGTATTCCTTTGTTTACGAAATTAATAAAGGGTGGGAAAGATTTCCTATAAAGCTTGTTGTGCACTTTGACTAATTTATTCTACTTGTGTATTCCACTTATCTTTTAACTTGAGAAAGTGGGAAAACCTCTCTAGTAAGGGAAACACTTAGTTAATAGACAAATACGAGTGAATTGTTTTTGGAAATGTTGAGTTTAGTGGAGACTAGGCGCCACATGCATCTATTTGTGGAGCAAAAAATTTAACCGTGACAATTGGGTATTAAAGCGTGGTTGTTTTCTTAGCAGGATGATGAGACTATGTCGTGGATAGATCAAAGGACTAATTTGTTGAAGCTATCATTGGAATAGTTTGCGAAACTAGTGGTTGACTTTGTATGCCTAAAGCTATGAAGGCAATCCAAGAAAGACTGACTCGACTTGAAGAGTTGATAGAGTCAATTTCAAAGGATGAATTAGAACAACGCTCTATCAATGACAAGTTGAGGGAAGCCATTGAAAGTGCTAAACTGGTTGAAAGCTTGCACATTAGTCTTACAACTAAAAAAAAGTGAAAGGTTAAAAGTTGTAGAGGAAGCAATTGCCATCTTGAAAAAATACATGGCAAACACTTTTATTGGGATAGTTATTTCTAAGCCTAAGGTTTCGGAATTGAAACCATTTAATAGGGTGCAGAGTTTCAAAGAGTTGGATAACTTTTATGGGACATGGAATCATACTTTAGTATGGCTAAGATAAGTTCAGGTGAGCAAATGAATATCATAGTGATGAATATCACGAGAGATGCAAAGTTATAGTGGTGGACAAGGTCCAATGAGGATCTTAATGCTGGATAATCAAATGTTGAGACATGGGAGATTTTAAAACATGAGTGGAAAGAATAATTTCTTGCCAACAACACATCCTAGATTGCGATGCAAAAGTTGAAGAAGTTGAGGCAAGATAGGTCGATACAGGATTATGTGAAGAAATTTAGTTCTTTAATTTGTGATATTGATAATATGTTTGAAGAGGATTGTTCATTTTTCTTTTAGGATTTCAACCATGGGCGTAGATGAAATTACCAAGGCAAAATGTTTTAGACTTATCATCAGCTATTAATGGTGTTGATGGTTTGTAGATTTGAGGCCAAATGATAATGATAAGAATTTTGAAAATTCTAGAAATTCAGAAAGGAAGGCTAATAGTAAGGGTTTAAAATCAAATTTACAATGCTTCATTTGCAAGGGAAATCATTTTGTAAAGGAGTGCTTACTGAAAGCATAACTTAGTGATATTTTCTTGGAAAAGGAAGGGGAAGGAACGATATATATAAATCCTATATGTGTGCGTAGCACTAACTTTTCGTTAGTAACAAAGGGCCATTCTAGTCGATGAGGATTTGAGTGTGGCCAAACTGTTTTAGACGAGTCAAAATTAGAGGAGTTTCATAACAGATCATAGTGATGGAAACAAAGTTGATTATTGTACCATGGACAAGTAAGCAATATTTAAATTTTATGCTTGTAGTTTTTTCATGCAAAATTATTAGAGAATTAGATGTTTGTATGAAAGCATATATGGTTCTTTAAAGTGATTTTGTGTGAATGTATTTTGTGAAGAGGGATGGATACATTGAATGTTTGTGATTAGTACCATGATAAATATATGACCCAATCCAAAGTCTGAGTTATTGATTAAATTAACCAAAATTAATTCAAATTTATGACATTCCAATATTTGTTCTTTAAAAAAAAATTAAAATGGTGTTGTATTAAAAAAAAGTCAAATTATATTTTGACTAGGTTAATTGAATTACTAGTTGACTTGAAAGGTTGATCAAATCACATTAGATTAAACTCCTATCTAGTTTAATTTTCTATCTAGTTTAATTTTAAATCTAAATATTTTTTTTTAACTTGGTCAAATTTATGACCTTTTAATATATATATTTTTTTAAATAAAAAGTTAAAATGGTATTGTATTTAAAACAAATAGCTCAAATTATATTTTAACCAGGGTTATTTGGAATGCTAGTTGACTTTTAAGTTAATCAAATCATATTTTATTAAAATCTTATCTAGTTTAATTTTAAATTTAGTTTGGATCAGGTTGTAAGGCCAATATATTTAAGAGTTGACCTATTAGATTAAATTGGAATGAATAAATACTAGTAAATATTAATAAATAGATTTTTTTTATAGGTAGGATAAATATAGTGAAGAGCGTGGGCTTTCTTTATTCGCCTGATTTCATTTTTATCGGTATGAACATATTTTTATTTTTATTTTTTACTATTATCATAATATTATTTTAACAATTAAATACTCGATCTAGTTTAATAATTATTTAATTGTATCCATTATATCAATACAGATCTTGTAATCTTGATATTAAAAGTCAAAGTAATGTGATCATAAAATATTAGAGGAACCATTAAAACTTCATTCACATGGTTGCATTGTCTACCTTACTAATATATGAGATGATTTATTCTATATTTAAGGTTAGCATACAAGAAACCAAATTAAACTATATTCATGATTATTATTATTATAAGGCGATGTTGAGTGGCGTCTCACCTCATGTGATGATGTCAGGAAAAAAAAGGGTCTTACATATAATAATAAAGTTATAATTATAAAATTATAAAATTACTTTTTAATCTTGTAATTGCTAGAAAATTTATGATTCATGAAAGTTTAGATAAATAACTAGTTGCATAAGGTGAAAATACATGACTGGTTGTGTAAGGTAAAAACATGTTATTCTCGGTGATAACAGAACTAGACTAGAGGTAATTTGTTATTTGTAACTTTGTTGATATATTTCAAAAATTAAAATTTTTTACTATAAATCTCACTATTACTAATAAAATGATCGATAAAACTAGACCATCAATATACTCAAAAAAGTTGGAAAATAATTATTATAAATGTAAATGTAAATGTTAATGCATCAATAAAATTATAAATAATATTCAATAAAATTCAATAAAATTATAGATAATATTATGTTGTTAGCGATATATTATATTTATCAATAAATATATCAATAGATAAATAATTAAAAATAACAATGATATTATATATATATTTTTTTATCAACGAAATGTTAAATTTACATGGAGCGATTGATTTGGGCGGGATGGCATAGTATTTGTTGTAATCAAATAGATTTAAGAAGGGAATTGGCATTTTAGGCCATTTCGGCATACAGTTCACTTGATGAAGCACTAAGCTGGAAACATTTGAACATGTACTGAACTGAAAGTAAATTTTTTCTAATAAGGGCAAAACATGCATGTGCCTACAAACTCATGAGAGAACTGCATATCAAAGAGCTCTCTTCTTTATACAAAAGGAAAGACGGAAACAAATAAAAAAAAAAACCGTGCTGAATAGATGAATATTGCATTTAATTTCTAAATTTCACGCAGCAGACGATGATTGGACTCCATCGATCCAGTTTCACTTGTTCATGCCAGTTGCATTCTTTACTCCTTCAACAGCTTCTTGTGTCTTAGCCCTCACTTGCTGACCAGCCTACACAAAGAAGGAACTATCAATTTTTTTTGTTTTTTTTTTTTAAAACACTCACTAGCTAAGAATTTCTGTGCCAAAATATGCAACTAATTATTAACACTTAGAGTGTTGCGAATTTTATTCAAGAGTGTTCCTCATTCTTCTTGGTTTATTTTCGTTCTTAAATCTTATGCACAATCCATCGTGCCATTGTGGTGAGGATGAATTCCCTGAAAAAATATAGAACATGAGACTGAACAAAAATATGTGAACCTCTTGCACTGATTCCTTTGCAGATTGAGCAGCATTGTCAGCTCTGTCCATCAAGTTACTGGCCTTCTCCTGAAACAAACAAAATCGATATGTTATAGAGCATCACACAGTAATTTATATATAAAAACAAAAGCAAAAAAGAGAAAGAAATCCATAAGCTAACCTGAGCTTGGCCTTTGGTCTCACCAGCTTTGTAGCTCATCTTCTGGGTGTTGTCAGCCATTTTTGGTTATTGATTTCTTTGAAAGATTTGAGAGAACACAAATGAATTGAAAGCTCAAACACTTGGTAATAAACATCAGCCATGGTTGCCTTAATTTATAGTGACTGAAACCAGGCCATTGCTTGACACGTAAAATGCTTGCGTGGAGTGGTGGCTGTAATGTGTAAATCACTTAGACTAACACGTGTCAAGCTGTTATCGAGGTTTAGATTTTGGGGCCCTTTGGACCAGGGCGTTAGATTGTTTTGTGTGCTCAGTTTTGACCGCTTCTACAGGGAAACAACAATGATGCGCCTTTGAACAATAAGTTTCGGTTCTTCATATATAATAGCAAATAAGGTAGTAATTGTTTTTATCACTGGGCGGGTCCAATTCGTTTACAAGGTAACCTGATAGGACACTAAGTTAAAATATTATTTATGTACATATATGATGATAGATAATAGAAAATAGTCTAAATAATTAAAAGCTTGGACTTTAATTTATATTTTTGGTTTTAATTTATATGAATTTTTAGTTAAGATTTATTAATTTAGCTTTATTTATTAGGTTTAATTTAATTATTATTGGGTATTTTATTTAATAGGTCATATTGATTCGTCCGGAATGTCCTTTCTAAATGTGAAAAGCTGACTTTCGGGTCTCTCTCTTTAGGGGTCGAGGTAAGCACTCAAAGGCATGCGCGTGAAGAAAGGACTTCCCTACTTCTCTAGCTTAGCCTACCTCGCAAGGGCTGGCTTTCGCGCTAGGGCCCTAGAACTAGCAGCTCCCTTTCTTAGGTAGGCGTGAGCAAGCTATATCTTCGTAAAGGGCTAAGCTAAGGATAAAGATCTTTCTGCGGGATTGAATCTAAGGCGGAACCTAGAAAGACAAAGCAAGCATCGGCCGAACTCAGGGGACTGCCCGGCGGAGCACCACCAAATGAAGAGAGTTACCACAAGCCTGAGACGACTTCTACTACTTCGCCAGCTTCGAATCCTTAGACAAGAGCTAGGACGGATTGAATCGAAAGCTTTCTTCTTTTTGGCTTAGACCGATAAAGGGAATAGGGGTGAGGAGGTAGACTAAGTCAAAGGCATTGCTCTTCACTTCCTTTCGAGTAGGGGTAGGCCCGTGACCAAGACAGAAAAAGAAGGAATTGCTCCGGTTCTGGATCAAGGTTTTCCAATAGCTGATTATTAAAAAACAAAGGCAGAGCCACTACCACTATCATACATAATAAGCAGCACAAACAGTATCACGGCCTCCAGATACGGATCCCGCGCCAATGGACTTTGTTGACCGGGAAACTAAGCAGAAATTGCAGTTTACTCCGGCATATTCAGATCTCATTGCAAACCCAGTAGTTGAACCAGCATCACCGGTAGCGCTTATAGAGCAGCGTCCAAAAAAGCATAAATCAGGCAAAGAGCCAGGTCAGGGAAGCCTCCTTGTGAACAAAAAGCCGGCGGAAAGAAAGGACCTATATCGGAGAAACTGCAGGTCGAACCTAGGGGCATCTCTAGCTGACACAATATCCGACAAAAACAAAGTCATTTTCGGCTCAAACTTCAGCAAAGGTAGCACAGTCAGCAGCATTATATCCAGTGCCCACCAATACGGATCCCGAGCCAATTACAGGGGCGGGGCACTTATCCGTCTCTCTCGCCTCTATAGTGATGCTGCGCGATAGATCCACTTGTTTGGATGGGTAAATCACTAAATCAACCGGTGTTCTGGCCACTCCCATCACTTATAGGTAAAAGCTCGCGGGTTAGAAACCTTTTTTACGGTACTTGGTTTGAAGCATAGGTAGATCGGGATCAATATAAGTCAGTAAGCCCCACCAATGCCTAAGATATCCACCAGCAGATTCTCCAAAGGAAGCATAGAAAGTTTACCCTTTCAGCGATCTTCGAAAGAGAGTATGCTCTTCTTGATGCAAACGATGGAGTAAGGAATGAAGATATCAAGGTTTTGACAGTTGAAAAAGAAAGGACATATCTTGCGGGCTGCCCCTGTATCAAACAACGGGAAAGGTCTTTTTTCTCTCTCTCTCTGATACGTCGCGTCGGCCCTAGCCAAGTGGAAAAAGAGCTGGCGGGCAAAAGATAAAAGACCAAAAAAATGTCATCCATTTCTGGATTTCCTGAGCGAGGAGTTGAACCAAAGCCAGCGCTAACTATTCGGTGAATTGGGTCGGGTATACTAGGGTGCTGTTCCCTACCCCTAGCGTAGCTAGGACGGTAACAAGTCACAGTCCTGGGAAGAGGGGCTACCTAGCAAGCTTATAAGGGTGAAATCAAAGGAATCTCTTTCATCATTCAACTTTTAGATGCTAAAGAAAAGATGTGCTTTCAAAGGGCTTTCTTTAATTAGTTCTATTCCACCGCCGGTCCTATCACTATCAGTAGTAAACACGAATTCCTTTATTCAATTTAGTTCTCCTCCCTAACGGCACACTGTATATAATCTCTCTAGATGGCCAATGTGAACATCAAACTTGTATGTGTTCAGCATATTGAAAGTGACATTGACAAAGCAAAGCACGGATTCCCTAGAATGTTAGAACTCAGACATGACAGAGAAGGTAGTCAAAAACGGTACGCTAAGCTCCTTGCTTCGTCGCTTCTGTTTTCAGTCAGAGAATGATGTTTTAAGCATCTCTCTATGCCAGGCATCTATCTGACCTGACAAGGAGGTCGACTTTGATATCTCAACCCTGATCTCTACGGTTGGTTGAAGGTGTCTTGGATTGGAAGACGGGTCGAAATTAGATCTGGATAGAAGATTCATCTACGCTGGCAAAAGGGCTTTCATTGAATCAGACTTTCCCAATGCTGCTCCTCTCCGATCCCCTCGCTGTGCTTGAGTGGCATGAAGCTACTAAACGAAAGCTAACTAACGTATCTAATCTAGTGGCGATATCAAACGGATTCTGCCCTGGGGAGAGCGGCTGAGACAAATCAAGATCTTGTGTATTCCCCCATCCCTCGCTTTGACAAACTTTCTATCGCTACGCCCCTGGGATTGGCGGTAAGGTCTATTAATAGAATAGTGGTGCGGTATCTGGGAACTCCTCTTTCGAAATGGGAAGAATAGCCTAGTAAAAGAGCCTACTTTCGTACTCAAGGGTCTACACTGTCCTTCTGATACAGAATAGAATCCGATACTATTCAATATGATGGTCTTGCTGCTGCTCTGTTCTCCGCTGTTGCAAGGAAGAAGCCCTGCGCTTAGCTCGAGCAGTGGATTAGGTAGAGAAGATAGTTGTGAACGACTCCGCTCTTGTTGATTTGTTGAACAACTTTCATCCCTGTGCTCAATGCCCGGACCATAGAGAAAAGATAGGCTCTTCCGTCTGTTGTCACAAGTCTTGTTGACTCAGCCGGGAGTGAAAGAGATTCTCTGATTCGACGTTCTCCAAATCCCAATAGGAAAAGCTTAATGGCAGCTAGATGGCCGGCTCTCTTGATGCAGGATTTCTCAGTCGGCGGGGGTCTTAGGATTCATTAGGAAGAAAAAGCAAGATCTCCTGTCTGATTCTGATAAGGGCTCTTTAAGAGATATCGTTCCTTGACAATGGCCGCGGGTAAGCTCCGTCGTTCGCCGATGATGGCAGGTGCCCAAGAGCTGTAGTCTAAGTCAAGTCTTTCCCCAGTCCACGCCCCGACCCTAAGAGAGAAATCTGTAGCTACTCTTGCTATTATTCACCTATTCGATTTAGGAGACTCACCGATAGAGCTAAACCAAAAAGTACCAGTTGTTGATTCTCTTTACACTCTTGTTCGCTAGTACGTACAATTGTGATTGATGAGCATATGGAACCTCTAAAGTGAAAAGCTCTTATTCAGTCAAGCATGGAATACCCCCTTGGGATGGGGGCCTAAGAGCCATAGATCACTAGCGCTAGAGAGAGCCGGTGCCTTCGTTCGGGTAGGTGGGTGGAAAAGCTTACTACTAATAGATGCAAGCTATCCTAGTGCGATGGGTGAATATGGGACTTTGTTTGAGAATGAGCTTACTCTTTTTGGAACACCCCCTTCACAGACATTTGTCTGGCCGCCAAAGACCAGATAGGTTTGGTAGGTGTAAGGTAAGAAGAAGGCTCTTCGGCTTGGGTTGATTTACGCTCTAGCAGTTGGCAAATAGGCCCAATGGTAGAGATCAACTAGGCTACAGAGCGAGACTCCTCATACGTCCTATACAACCATAGTCTTAGTAGCCGCTATTGACTGACTTACCGAGAGCAAGAGAGGAAGATGGGATGGTACCAGTGGAAGAGAGTCATCGAAGAAGATTCTTTTTCTATCATAAAAATTTCAAATTTCATTCCCCGATCAAACAAGAAGCTTAAGATGACCAATCGGCGGATTTCCCTGGGGTTCATGACTTTGCCGCCTTAACTCTCTAAACTGATCTACGCCCATACTTCGTCGCTTCTCAAACCTATCGAATCAGAATTGCTTCACCTCTTCGATTACCCGTCTGACACAACTAGATTAGTGTAAAGCCCATAGGCAAGAAAAAGTATTATGGCACCACTAGCAATGATCTGCTCGATGCAACAACAAAGAGTGAGGCAACAGATTTGGATTAGTCCCTGTCTTATGGGAATCCCAAATTATGGTCCGTCCGTCTGAGAGAGGGTTTGTCTGTTCATCAAGCGTATGAGTCTTTTTGGATCCCTTCCCGGGGGGGTAGCTTATAGTTTAAATCTAGTTCTGGCTAATTAGCTTTCTTAAATCAATTGAAGAGAGGTTCTATTCAAGTGTTGTTATTGTCACCCTCATCGAGGAGTGGATAGCCACCCTTTCTTGTAGAGCCAGAGTTCTAAGCCTAAGTCAATCTAACGGAATGCCAGTCG